TCACAATATTACTTGAGTTTGATGACTAATAAAACGTTCTTCTCCTCAAGTTCATTCAATATGTTTTCATATTGAATCTACCTTTTAATTTCTCAATAGCAAAGGGTTTCTGATTTTAATTAGGTCTTATGACAAAGAATTCATGTTTTTGCATGGCATTGTTAGCTGAGAATTTTAAGGATTTCAAAATGAACCATTTGTCTAGAAGCTCAAATGAGATAGTATTTAAAAAGTGAATCATTATCTTTTGAAACATGTTAAGAGTGGATCTCCTATTGTTAACGATATAAAAAAACATAAACTATCATATACAGGTTTGAATTATTTCTATTGAACCTTTAAGTTTAAACCCAAATCTCGATAATGCCTATCGGACTCATCAAAATATTCATTAACATTTATAATGGTGTGCTTTCACTTAAAATAGAATTTTAAAACTTCAATAATGACGTGTTGGAAACAAAAATAATTTGACAATAAGTCATTTTTCTAACTCAAGGAGAGAAAATAGAAAAAAGGACCAAAAAGAATCCAAAAAAGTACTTGAAAATTGTATATATAAACCCTCCCGAGTTAGTCTTGGTGGGGGGCCACAAAATGCACAAAAGTTAAAATTCAGAAATTCTTCGTCTCTTATTTCTTTGAAGTTACTTATAAATTGTCCACTCCTTTCCTCTGTGAATTGTGTGTTCAATTTGTGATTTAGTGCGTGTCTTTTCCAACCATCTTTCTCTCTCTGCTATACAATAAATTTCTCTGTTCTTCACAACTTCATTGCCTATAGACTTCCAAGTCTTTTCCAGGTACTTTACTTGCATATTTTGTGAGTCGGCAGTACTAGACATTATAATATTACGACTAACTATATATGTGAATGCAGATTGCAGGGAGGTTTTCACATTGAAATCAGAGTGAAATGACCAACCAAAATATGGTGATTTCTGATGCAAAATCAAGCCTTGCAATGGCAACTGCAGTTGCTATGTCTGAATCTAATCTCTACTCGCCCGCCATGCCTAAGCCACTGGTCGCAGCGAATGGCTACTTTGCGAGAAAAAAGTTGATTAAAAAGGTTGAAACTAATGGAGGAGGAGGTGCCAGGATTAACGCCTTTATTGATTCAATGCGGGCTTCTTCGCCAACTTGTCGAGCCTCTGAAACTGAAGATCAAAAGTCTTGGATTGTAAGCATACTAATAAGCACTTATATTGAAAATAAGCAATTCTTGGCCTCATATTATATACTTAAAACAGATTCATCATCCATCGGCTTTAAGCATGTTCGAGGATATCATGAAAGCTTCAAAGGGCAAGGAAATAGTGGTGTTTCTTGATTATGATGGTACATTATCACCCATTGTTGAGGATCCCGACCAGGCCTTCATGACTGAAGAGGTTAATCAATTTCTCAATTAAGCAATCTTTACTTAAAATTCATTCCAACTTATTTTTATTAATTTCTTATTATTATCAGATGAGAGAAGCAGTGAGGGATGTAGCCAAATTTTTCCCCACAGCCATTGTCAGTGGAAGGTGCAGAGCCAAAGTGTATGATTTTGTGAAATTATCAGAGCTCTATTATGCAGGGAGTCATGGAATGGACATCCAAAGACCAACAAGAGGACGCAAAAAACAAAGAAAGGTAATTATGGTCCATTCAGTACTATAAATTTTGTAGCATAATTTTTTCATGTTTTAAATTTTATTTTAAAATTTCCGTTTAGGGAAAACAATCTGTCTTCTGCCAGCCTGCCAGAGAATTTTTGCCAATGATTGATGAGGTAGGTTTCTATCTCTTTCATTTTCATGGGAAACTCCAAAATTTTATTACCACAGTGTCTCAATTCTAACCGGCCAACTTTCAGGTACACAAAATTTTGTTGGAGAAAATCAAACTTATCCCAGGTGCGAGAGTTGAAAACAACAAGTTTTGTCTGTCCGTACACTTCCGTTGCGTCGATGAAAAGGTAAAAAACCGTCCTTTAATTTTGAGTCATTTCTCGGATTTTCTTTTGACTGATAAATGTGAAATAAAATTAATTTCTGTTTGTTGAATTTTTATTAGATTTGGGGCGAATTAGGGGAGCAAGTTAGAGAAGTGATTAATGACTATCCAAAGCTCAGATTGAGCCAAGGGAGAAAGGTTTTGGAGATACGTCCCGCTATTAAATGGGACAAGGGGAGTGCACTTGAATTCTTATTAGAGTCGTTAGGTGAGGGCCAGATGTTGATTTTTAGTTCTAATTTATATAGTTTCCGCGTATAGTACTAAATTTTTTTGGCGGGATTAATTGGATCTTCAGGTTATGACAACTCAAATAATGTTTTACCGGTTTATATTGGCGATGATCGCACCGATGAAGATGCATTCAAAGTACGTATTGGTTCTCACAGTTGAGATTTCTATTATTTTATAAGAGAAGTGACTGATGGTGACTTTCATTTTTCAGGTTTTGCGCAAGAGAGGACAAGGTTTAGGAATTCTAGTGTCTAAAGCTCCTAAAGAAACAAAAGCCTCGTATTCTTTGCAAGAACCATCCGAGGTAAGTACAATCAAGATGCTTTAGATTTATTTAAGGAAGTTTTGACAAATTTACACGTTACATTATTATTTCATATTTGACAGGTTATGTACTTTCTCAAACGCTTAGTCGAATGGAAAAAATCATCCTTAATAGGGCATTAGGACGAGCGCCGCCTCCACCAACATAGAGGAAACATTCGATCCTTACCCTCGAAGTTTTATTAGGGGTATGGGCGGTGTTGAATTTATGTACCTAATTTATTCCATTGTAATGATCGGTCCCAAAGGGAACTCTTCTCTTTTTTGCACGAGCATTATTCACGTTGTTATCACTAAAAAAAATGTATTCAAGTTGCTATAATTCTCCCTTTTCCATTTGTGGGTTAAGATGTCTTGATCGTTGATATACTTAGCTATCAAATCATACGACTCTAAACTGTATCAGAAGTCCTTAAAAATGTGCTAAAAAGCATAATAAGCTTCAAAAAGGCCAAATGGGAATATTAATTGCACAAAATGTGAAAATCTTAATGAGAAGGAATAATTCTATCTAGGAATTTCAATTCAAAATTAAAATTGTCACGCAAAGAATCAAAAGAGTATAATTCAAAGAATTAAAGCTGGTCAATATAATTAAGCATATTGGACTCCTAGTTCTTGATCTAAGAGACTAAGGGTCCGTTTGATTGTAAGAATGAAATTTGGATAGAAAAAAATGGATTTCAGGGAATTGAATTGCCTAAAACTTATTTTTATGAGAATTGTCAATTAATTGTGTTTGATTAATATAATTTTTCATCTGAAAAATATTGAAATTTTGGGTCTTTTTGTATTCGTTTGGTTTTGTTTTCCATGAAAATTGTCAATTAAATGGATAAAATTTGTTACAAT